TGCCTTGGTGAGGATGTACAGATATCACATATATTGAGAGATTTGAGAGTGTCATAGAATGGAATCTCTGAGTTTTATTTTGAAAACTTATAAAAACTCCGAAACAATAGTGTGGGGGGTATGACCCCAGATACCCATGGCAGACCACATGGGCTGCGCCCTCAGGGGCGGCCCAGCCCATAAGACGAAGCCTTGCGGGGCACGACTCTGGTCGGCGCCTTCCGTAAGACATCTGAAAGATATCCTGAAGATACTACGAGATCTGTTAGGATATGTATAATCCCAAGATTCCTATAATCAGTTATTACTTTCCGGTTATCTCTCAGATCTAACCGACTTGTAACCCTGCTCCCCGGACTATATAAGGCGGGCAGGGACCCCCCTCCAAACTCACGCAGTATCATACGATAGCTAATACAAACCAACAGACCACAGGAGTAGGGTATTACGTCATACTGACGGCCTGAACCTGTCTAACTCGTGTGTCTCTGTTGCCTTCTTGTTCTTGATCTCACGCTCCTCTATCGATCAATCTACCTTCGTGGGATACCCCTCGGAGGACTGCCGATGATATTCTGTCGACAGTTGGCGTGCCAGGTAGGGGATCACGTGTTGTTTCCTTGTCGAACAAGATGGTTTTTTCCGCAGGCTCTTCGTCCCTCCCACAGCCTGGCCAGATCTTCACGGTCGGATCGATCTCGTGGATCATCAACGCTGACGGAGTCGAAGAGCTCCTTGAGCCGGTACAGATCGATTCTGTGCCGATCATCCCCGCACATGTGACTACAGATCCGATCTTGGAACCACTTCCAAGGTCTCCTTCATCAACCACCCGCCGCCCGCTTCCTCGCTACCAGAGGAGGCAGATCAACAACGACGATCTGATCGAATCCATCGATAGGGTCGGTCTGAAGCTCGCCGATTGCCTCTCCATCGCCGAATCGGCTCTGGACACCTTGGTTCAGCGCCGACCACCCTCCGATCCAGATCTGTCAAAGGCTGCTCGGAAAACTCCAGGAGTCGTGGCTCTACCCTTCAGGCTCACCAACATCGCCGCTACTTTCCAAGACGCCCTGAGGGGCAAATTCGCTGATCAGGTGGGATGCGCCCATCCACTCGCCGACCAGATCGCCGTCCAGCCTTCGCCAGCCGTCAACATGCTACACATAGGCCGGTGTCCCGGAGTGTCCCTCCAGACCATCCCAGAGGAAAATCCGGGCTCCGAGTCTCAGGGCTCTACGGAGACTCTCGCCGAAACCTTCACTGAGCAACTCCTTCTCTCACCCTTCCAGGGTGGCGCGATCTTCAACGTCAGCGTCGACAGCCCTCCTCGGAACGGTGAAACCGAGGAGCGTGTCGCTTGTGAGAATCGGAACATCAACCGTGCGCAGTGCCGAGAAAATGAGGCGGCCATTACGAGGGCCGAGGCTGCTCGTAATAATCGGCTCGACTCATAGGGAAGGCCACTCCCGCTCCACCACGAGCTCGATGAAGAATTTCTCTGCGTTGACGGCCACGACGTCTTCAAGACTCCAAGCGCCAATCTGGCAGTGGCCGCCAACGAGCTCGCCCACCTCCCGCAGACGCCTGAGCTCGCCAAGGTTGCCGCCATGCTTAAAGCGACACACTATCAGGTTAATGAGATCCGCGAGGATTAGAGACCTTCGTGCTCTACGAGTACGATTCGCCGATTAGCTACGCCAAGATCCAATCACCACCCCAGTCAAAGCTATTTCGCCGACCAATCATAGCCTCTCCAGGGGGAGCCAGGGGCCACTGTGCCGAACACCATCGCCAACACGGCCAGGAGGTCGAACAAGATGCTCGAGTGTGCCTCAACAATCTTCGAGATGCACAATGACGTATCAATGAACGCCGCCGCTAGGAGTACAAGCAGGAGTATGGTGACCCAGACTCAACTCTCGAGCCAATGGCTGCCGGTAACGCCGCAGACGATGGCGCCGACAACCCCGAAGGGCCACCAGCATTCACGAGGGCACTCCGAACACTCTAGTGGCCCCGTGGTTTTAAAATCACCGGGGTTGAACCCTATGAAGGAAGGATGAACCCAACATAGTGGTTGCAGGCTTATGCCATTGCTGTCCGCACCACCGGAGGAGACACCAGCATCATGGCGAACTATCTGCCTGTTATGCTCACACCAGCCACCATGAGCTGGTTCACAAGCCTTGCCCCGAACTCCATCGGATCCTAGGAAGAGCTGAAGAAAGTCTTCACCGACAACTATATGGCTATGTGTACACGGCCGGGCACCAAGCATGATCTCAACCGCATCACCCAGAAGCCATCTGAGCTCCTCCGCAACTATATTCGACGCTTTTCTGAGATGAGGAATTCTATTCCCAACATCACGGAAGCTGAGGTCATCACCGCCTTCATCCGAGGACTCCACCATCGCGATCTTCGCTCCAAATTCTACCGCAAGCCGCCCATAGGCATTGGCGAGATGATCACTGGGTGATATACTTCGACAGCGCCCTTAACATCAACGGTGCTGGTGCGGGCATTCTGTTCATTACGCCGACCAAGGATAAGCTCCGATACGTTCTCCGGATACACTTTTCGCCCTCCGACAACTCCGACAAATATGAAGCATGTCTCCAACAACGCCTCATGGTGTACGAGGATTCCGCACTGGTCATCAACCAGCTCAACAAAGATTGGTCCTGCTCCAGTGAAAAGATGTATGCATATTGTGTCGAAATCAGGAAGCTTGAAGGGAAGTTCTATGATATCGAGTACCATCACGTGGTATGTGATCAAAATCAGCTCGCCGATCACCTTTCTAAGTTAGGCTCCTCTCGCGCCGTGATTCCGCCGGGGGTTTTCAGTCAAGATCTCTTGGCACCATCTATCAAGGAAGAGAAAGAAGTTTAGGAAATTCCCCCCGCCGAGCAGCTGGTACTTACAGTACCTTCGCCGACCGCCGATTGGAGGGAGCAATTCATCAAATACCTCACCAGCGCCGAGGTACCCACCGACAAGACTAAAACCGAACGCCTAATTCATCGAAGCAAGCATTACGTGCTGGTGGACGGCAACTTGATGAGGAAAAGTGCTAAGGAAGGGATACTACAGAAATGCATCACCCAAGAAGAGGGAGTGAAGCTACTTCTCGAAATTCACTCTGGTTCCTACGGCAACCACGCGGCCTCGAGAACACTGGTCGGCAAGGCTTTCTGAGCTGGTTTCTATTGGCCCACATCCATCTCCGATCCAAAAGACCTCATCCGATGTTGTGAAGGATGCCAATTTTTCGCCAAGCAAATACACGTGCCGACACAAGACCTGCAAACCATCCCAGCTTCCTGGCCCTTCGTATGCTGGGGACTGGATATGATTGGGCCTTTCAAGCCTGTGCCAGGTGGTTCCCGGTACGTGTATGTCGCCATTGACAAGTTCTCCAAGTGGATTGAGTATAAACCACTCGTCTCGACTACTGCAAAGAAAGCAGTCGAGCTCTTCGAAGACATCAACCACAGATTCGGTCTCCCAAACAGCATCTCACCGACCTTGGAACTACATTTACTAGCCATCACTTTTTGGGACTTCTGCGGAGACCGATGCATCTCTGTCAAATATGTCTCCGTTGCCCATCCTAGAGCCAACGACATGATTCTTGATGCTCTCAAAAAGAGGTTATATCAGAAAGAAGAAAAGCATCCGGGCAGATGGCTCAAAGAGCTACCAGCTGTGGTTTGGGGACTACGTACTCGAGCTAGTCACAACACTGGTGTGTCTCCATATTTCTTGGTCTATGGCTCAGAAGCCATACTACCAGCAGACATTGCCTTCCGAGCACCTAGGGTGAAAAACTATGATGAAGAGCAAGCCGCAGCTGTTCGGACAGAGGACGTCGATAGGGCCGAGGAAGAACGCCTAATCACCTGCGTCTGCACAGCCAAATATCTGGAAGGCTTGCGACGGTACTACAACCGCAACGTCAAAGGTCGTTCATTTGCTGTCGGCGACCTCGTCCTCCGCGGAAAACAAAAAACTGAAGGGATGCACAAGCTCTCCTCCCCTTAGGAAGGGCCTTACGTCGTCAAAGAGGTCACCCGACCAGGGTCTTATCGCTTATGCGACTTAGATGGGATCGATGTTCCCAACTCATGGCACATCGAGCACCTTATACGTTTCTATCTTTGAAACGCTCCAGATATGTACTCTCCACTTTTATGTTGAATAAAGTTTTGGTCTCCGTAACTTGTCTCCACTTTGTCTCCATTGTGGTTTAACACCTACTTATGGTCGCCGAGCTCTATGCTACTCCATAACGAACTCCAATACGAAATCGCCATAACCACGTCGACCACATTTCTCCAAATCTCCAACGTTATCGCCGAACCGTTTTCTCCAAAATCGCCGAATGATTTCTCCAAAACGCCGACGCATTATCGCTGTACGCGACCAAAATCCTGGAATGGGTGTCCGGTTTGGGTGAGCTCGGTTGGAGATAGTCTCAATGCTCCTATCTTTTTTCACAGTACATCTCTCTATCTATCCTTTTTGTTTTCTTTATGTGTACCACATCCTTTTATCTATTTTGGGATACAAGTAGTAGTTAGGCTGTGTTTAGTTCGCGAAATGAAAATTTTAGATGTCACATCGGATGTTTCGGGGATGTCGGAAGTAGTTTTTGGATACTAATAAAAAAACTAATTACATAGCTCACCTGGAAATTGCGAGACAAATTTATTAAGCCTAATTAATCCATCACTAGCGCATGTAGTACTGTAGCACTTATGGCTAATTATGGAATAATTAGTCTTAAAATATTCGTCTCGTGATTTCCAACCAAACTGTGTAATTAGTTTTTTTTTGTCTATATTTAATACTACATATATGTACCGCAAGATTCGATATGATAACTTGGGGTGAAATTTTTTAGTAACTAAACCGGTCCTTAGTCTTTCCAGGATCTCAAGAATTTTCCGAAAGGTAGTGCATCCGCGAAATCAGGTTGAGCTATAGTAACATCAGCGTGTCGACCGAAACTGCTCAATCGTGCCCGAGCGTCCACCAGTGGAATGAGTGCTGAACCGGTCCGCGACGTGACTGGGCATGGCGGATTCACGCGCACCGCCCATGGGTGCCGTGTTGGAAGTGACAAAAGATGTGCCATGGGTGCCACCGCTCTTGGCCGACGAGGCAAACGAGTGCTCCGCCGTCCGGTCACTAGTTGACGAGTGGCCTCCGGTGTTGGCACCTGCGGACGACGACGTGGTGGTGGTCGACCAGTAGTAACCCCTGCCGGCAACAGGCGGCCCATACGTGGCCACCGGCATCTCCAGCGGGAGCTCCGGCAATGGCGCCTCGAACTGGAGGACGCTCATGGCCTGCCGAATCGACGCCCGGGACGCGTAGTCCGGATGCACGCACCAAAGCCCCACGCCTAGCACCCGCTCCATCTCCAGCGGCTGGAAACCGCCCCCGCCGTCGTCCAGCCGCGGGTCCGCCGCGTCGAGGAGCTCGCCCCTCCCGTACAGATCCCAGACCCACTGCACGAGCAGCACCCTGCTCTCGTCCTCCTCCTCCGGGACGACGGGTTTCCTGCCGCAGGCGACCTCGAGGAGGACGATGCCGAAGCTGTAGACGTCGGACTGGACGCTGGCGCGGCTGGTCACCGCGCACTCTGGGTCCATGTACCCCATCGTGCCGGCGAGCATCGTGGTGTGCGCGGCGCGGCTGTGCTTGACGAGGCGCGCGAGGCCGAAGTCGCCTAGCTTCGCGTTGAGCGACGAGTCCAGCATCACGTTGCTCGGCTTGATGTCCCTGTGCACCACGCACTGCTCCCATTCCTGGTGAAGGTACAGGAGCGCAGAGCCCATGCCAAGGATGATGTTGTACCTGATCGATCGACGCCCAAAAAAGAAAACTGAGCTTGTAATATCTGACAAGAATGCATAAACTATCATCTCGCTTGATTGATCAGGTTCGTTCTTACCTGACTGGCCACGTTAGAATGCTATCTGTGCTATAGAGATGGGCGTCAAGGCTGCCGTTGCTCATGAGCTCGTAGACGAGCAGGAGCTCGTCGGCGTCATGGCACCACCCGACGAGCTGCACGAGGTTGCGATGACGGAGACGGCTTATGATCGTGACCTCGGAGATGTACTCCCTCCTCCCCTGCTTCGACGTCTTGGAGACCTTCTTGATGGCCACGTGGAGCCCTTGATCCTGCAGGTATCCACGGTAGACTGATCCGAAGCCACCCTCGCCGAGCTTCTCCTCGTCGGAGAAACCTCGCGTCGCCTGTGACAGCTGGCTGTAGGTGAATCTCCGAGGCCCGGCCCCCATCTCGAACTCATCGTCCATTTCTCCATGGAGGTGGAGGGGAGCCTCTTGCGTTTGGTTGGTGCCCTTTCGTTTTAGGTATTTGTTGTAGCTGAGCCATGTTGCTACAATGAGTAGTATGACGATCCCAGTAGATGCCAGTCCGGCTATTAGGCCTAAGTTTCGCATGTTTGATGTTTTGGTTCCTGTCATTTAAAGATGCATAAATACCAAAACCTCTGATTCACACACACACAAAAAAAAAAAACACTGCAAAAGCTTATAAAACACACATCATTGGCTTATGAGCATACACAATTCCCCCAGTGATTTTGCAACAACACTATGTATATATAGTGAGAATGCACAAATCATGCATCGAAGGTAGATAAAACATTGTTATGTATATATAGTGAGAATGCACAAATCATGCATCGAAGGTAGATAAAACATTGTTCCCAGATTTATTTACGCATTTGATTTCAGCGAAGCAATGCACGCTTATGTTCACAGATTACATAAGATTCATATTAGATATTGAGCAACGCGAATTTCTAATCTAATAAAGAGAAAAAAGGAGAAATAACAAAGCTACAAGCAGGGAAAGGCACTTGCCGGTCGTGTTGACAACGGCGACGCTGACGAGAGTGGACTCGAACGACCACGAAAGGATCTGATGGCGCTCGACGAAATCTCCGGTGGCTCCGGAGAACCCGACCGCCGCTTGCTGCGGCAGCCCAGCTTCCTTGAAGTCGACGGTCGCGCTGACGTTGTAGAGGCCCAGCTCCGGAAGGTGGTCGAACCGCAGCGTCGCCGAGAGCGTGCTCGCGTTGGCGTCGTACCTGACCCACGCCGACATGGTCCCGTTGAAGCTCGCGTCCGGCAGCGCCGCGTACGCGAGGGACACGATGCTGTTGACGTCGACGCCGACGTGGTTCACGGTGTTCGCCGGGTCCCAGACGTTCTTGAACGCATCGAACTCCACGGCGACGGTCGGCGGGAAGTAGGCGTTGGCCGTGTTGTTGGGGTTGTTGAAGAGCCCCAGGAAGCCGCCGTTGGAGTCCTGCGGGAGAGTCGGCGGGTACGGCGCCACGAAGAACGCCATGCCGTCGCCCTGGCCGGTGCTGTTGCGTGGCGTGATGGCGAAGGTGAAGTTGGAAGTGAAGCTGGCGACCTTGGAATTGCCGGTGCTGTTGTCCCAGAGAGGTACAGGCTGCCCGTACGCCACCCGGCCGGTGCTCCAGGTCGTGTCCTTGGTCAGGTCGATCCGGCCGCTTGCGGCGGTGGCGTTGGACATGTACGTGAGGTCGGCGCTGGTTAGGACGCCGGGGTTGGAGAAGTTGTAGCTGAAGCTAAGCGAGGTGGCATGGGTAACACAAAGCAGCAGGTAGTACGAGGACAGGCTGAGGAGAAGATGGCTGTTTCTTCCCTGCTTCTTAGCCATAGCCATGGCCAAGGATACGGCTTTGCTTGTGGGCTAACAGCCTGTTCGTTTGGCCGTGGCTCGTCGTAAACGATTATAAATTTCCAGTTGAAATAGTATTTTCTCTCACCTAAACTAGCCAGCAGTACTTCTTTACAAATCAGTAATATACGAACCAGCCAACCGAACAGCCTGTAAAGCTTTTAATCTGTGAAAGTATGGCTGCTCTGCTGAACGCAGGGGGCGTCGTTTCGTCGCCTTTGTCTCCGTCCGCAATTGGCCATCAAAGTCTAGCTGTGTTGTGCGTGGGTCTTTCCACGATTTTAGTTTACGTGTTAAAAATGTGCATGTTCACGTCAGAGTTGAACTAACGTGTAAGCGAAGTACTTGATTTATCTAGTTCTTAATTATTGGTCATCAAGTCATTGTTCTTTTACCTTTCTTATTTTTGGGTGGTATGTTTTTTTTCTGTCCTTCGTGTGGTCATTATTGGGACATTGGTAGTTGGTAGATGAAACCGCTACGCCAATTGGGACATTTTGAGGGTGCGTTTAGTTTCCAAAATTTTTTTGCGCAGTACCTATCACATCGAATCTTGCGACACATGTATGGAGTACTAAATGTAGATGAAAAAAAACTAATTGTACAGTTTGGTGAGAAATCACGAGACGAAACTTTCAAACCTAATTAGTCCATAATTAAATACTAATTGCCAAATACAAACGAAAATGTTACAGTAGCTAAAACCAAAAAAAATTTACATCTAAACCCACCCTGAGTAAGAAAGTCACCTGTTTCAAAGATTGTTTTTAAATGCTCTCTCGTCTCAAAATAATCATCATTTTAAATTGTTTTAAGTTAGAATATTTCAGATTTGACTAAATTAATTGTACAGAAAAGGACAGTAATATTTATGACACCGTATTAGTATCACTAAATCATTGCTCTAGACCAATTTTTCTCCGCCCAGGTCAGGAAAGCTGAATGGTTCCTGACGTGCTCAGAAGAACCGACCGGGAATCCAGCTGACCGACGCGGAAGGTTGTTTCGGGGGCAAAGCGCGCGCTGGCCAGAAGCTTTGGCGCGTGGCAGAGAGTCCTGGGGGAAAAAAAAGAGCGCCGACGAGGGCGCCGATGCGCGCGAAGCCAGAAATTTCTTTCCACCTGCGAATGGGACTGTACTAGGGCTGTCTAAGACGCTATCGACCGTGGTTTAAATCTGGTGATCACATCTTTTTATAGAATTTTCTAGAATTTACGGATATATGCACACGTGCGCGTTTGGTGGTACTGCGCGTTTCCCGTGTAGTGGAGGCGACACCTTCCAATCTCTTATTTACGTGTGTACGGACGCGCACATGTGTGCGCGTATGGTGTAAGCGTGGAGTGTGGGGATTACCTGCGTCTAAGTTGTAGTCGATAAAAAAAAGAAATTTCTTTCCACCACCCGTGACTTATCCCTTCCCTTGACTTACCGGAAGGGGCAGAGAAGAGCACAGCGAGGGCAAAGCAGGCAATTGCGGCGACCAGGATCCAGTAGGAGGCGGAGGCGGTGGGGGACCTGGGCCTGGGGTCCTCGAGCGCGAGGAGGGAGCGGACGTGGGGCAGGAGTCACCACCTGGTGGGGGCGGAGCCCGTCATTTCCGCCGCCGCCACCGTCGCCGCCACGGGGGACGCGACCTACTGGATCTTAGTCGAGGAGGGAGCGCGAGGATGCGGACGCGGCCTCGGCGTCGCCCTTGGAAGGGGACCTGGTGGCGCGGGTCGCCGCCGCTGCCGCCGTGGCGTGCTGCAGCTCGGCCATGGCGCCGCCGCGCGGCGTATGGGCTGTGGGTGCCGCTTCTTCTTTTCCCTTGGTCCTTCCGCGGCGACGCTAGTGTGTTCTAGGTGGGTGGTGGCGGAGGCGACGGCAGTGAACTGTTTGGATCTCAGATTTTTGCAAGATTGGAGGTATGGTCTAGCATGTACTTCGTTTATACTTGTACGGGAAAAAGTCTTTTATCAGATTATGTTGAGAAGTGTGCTTGTGTGTACACAAGGTGAGAGGAGAAAGGACTTGGTTTTGGTGCTATTTCCCTTGAGCTAGCTTCCTAGGTCGGCCTCAGCATTTTCCCACTGCTGCTGCTAATGCCAGGTTACTCTGTTACTGCTAATATCAAAACTGTCATTGCTTTAGTCCGTATATAAAAATTTTGTTAGAGTTGCCATCAGGTTCCTCTGCACCATAGAATGCTAGAACATTGAATTTGAGGTCAAAATTTAGCAAAACACACTTACTGGCCTCATCTATTACTAGATACTGTGAAGCACTAACTGTACTGTGTGGCCACACTCAAAAATTACATTGCATCTGGTTTAGGTGCACAATGTATGTGTCGGGTTCATAAATCCGGGGTCCCTCGCGGACCGGCTTCCCAACAAAGGCTCGGCTCAGCAGACAACGTTGTAAACAACGCGTAACTCATGGGCCGGCCCAAGTACATAAACGACAGGCTAAAAGGGCGATCCAATCACCGACCGAAAGCCCTGGCCGAGGAGGAACGACGCCCATTTCCGACTCCAGCCCACCTCTCCGACCGGAGCGCTCGCTTCGGTCTCCCGCCCACCTCCGGACAGCCTCTCCGACCGGAAGGCCTGACAAAAGCACTACTTCCGACTCCAACCCACGTCTCCGACTGGGGATATACCGAACCCCTGCTCAATGCTCTTGTCCAACTGGCGCGTTCAGAGCCGATTGGGACTAACCGACCGGGGTCGCCTGCTCGGTAAGGACCAGGGAACGGACGGAGAAAGAAAGGCAGGGCGCACAAGTCAAACCGCAATACCAGGGACCGTACCCTGCGCACCTGCCAGGCAATACCCTGCGACCCTCCTGGCACGACAGAACCCAAGCAGTGTTGTAGGCGTCGACATTTTCCCCTACAGTATTGTGGGCGCCATTAACTCGTAAGGCTCCCCCCACATGCCTCTGGGCATCAACAGTGTTGTGGGCGCCGGCATTTACCGTACCAGGTGAACATGGTAAAACCCCTTGCATGTCTCCAGGTATCAACAGTGTGGCAGGCGTCGACATCTGCCATACCCAAAGAAGACAACACAACCTCCCACGTACATCTGACATTCAACAGTATTATGGGCGCCTACCATTATTCTGTACCCGCTGGCATGGGCAACAAGGCTTAGTAGCATACATACTCTCTCCCTCTCACTTGTAAGGCCATCCCCTTCATCTATGAAAGGGGATGCGCTCTCTCCCAACATGGTGATTCAGATTCATCAAGTTCACTACTACACAACAGCAGAACCACCAGGTTCAAACCACGAGCACACGCTCGAACACTTAGCTCATCGCGGGGCTCCCGTCACTCTCGGCCCTTCCGACCAGACCTCTTGTACCCCCATCTCTCTCCTTCTCATTTGTAACCCCACTGTAAACTTTGAGCACCTAGGCTCAGGAATAAAGTTACCAACCGACTTAAACTGGACGTAGGGCACGTTGCCTAAACCAGTATAAACCCTATGTCATTGAGTGCTAGACCACCTCCGATCACAACGTACGGCAAAACTACAAATATTTACTTGTTGGTCACTTTCTGCACCGACAATTGGCGCCGTCCGTGGGGAAGACGTTGTAGGTTCAACACTTTTTGGTCATCAGATGGCCCACTTTTCCGCCACCTTTGCCATGGCGGGCTCAGGCGATACGACTCGCTTCGGCTCACTGGAGTTTCTCGCACTCCCACCTGTTGGGATGTGGGTTCCACCCATCTCTGAGCCATCCCAGGCCTTCCTCTTTGGAAGCCTAGACTTCGTCGCCGACTGGCTCGGCGTACTACACCTCTACGAGGAGGCACTTGTTCTGGCGCCCGTCGGAGGGGCGCCCTCCATCGGCTCCAGGACGCACGATGACTTCAACAACGAGGTATCCACGCTTCATTCCGAGCAAACTCTTTGCTCAAACCCCGCTGTGAGTAATGTACATGCTGTTATTTACTTGCTATTCTCTATCTCTCGCCGATTATCCGGAGGGACCCCGTTGTCCCCGCCGCAACCGCCATGCGACCGGTTCCCCTACGGCCTCGCGTCTCCCGTGGACGCGTACGCCCGGGGGCTCCGAAGGATGCCGGTGCCCCCCTCTCACGTCCGAATTCATGGGGATGGCGAGCTATGCTCCCACCTATTTCCTCGACCTCATGGATGACGATGTTGAGAGTGACGGCTCCAGCATCGGCGATGTGTCACCTAGCCACCGTCTGTCCTGGGAGTGCGCTATGACGGACGCTCCGTGACAGCCACCAGTGGTGACGGTGTCCTTATAGACTCACACCCCTTTGGACCCTCATGCGGAGACCCCCGATCTCACACGGGAGCACGGCGAGGAGCTACAACAACAGCGGCTGAACCAGCCGTCGACTACGCTAGCGCGCTCGGCGCACC